CAATCACAAAGCTATATAATAACTACCAAATTACCGTCATATTCTCAGAAAGGTCCAAAGGGCATAATAGTGCACTAAATGTACGTGCTGACAGGCCGATTACTGGGGCTTACCTGTAGCTTGATTAACCTCAATACAAGTCTACAGTCTATTTCTGGTCACAGTAGATCAGCTATGAGGAAGGGAATAACAACTTAAACTCAAAACAACAGCGCAATTCACACACTAACGTATAATCTCTATTATCAGCCGCATCCCTAATAGAAGTTGCACCCCATTCTTTTTGAATAAATGAGAACCTAAAATTCACCATTTCTTATATGTGCAGATGCTCTAATAGAAGCCGCATCCCCTCTGTTGTATTGTACCATTTAATAGAAGCAGCGGTTTCTAATACAGATTTTACAGTACTAATTCTTGTCTTGGACTACTAAACATTTTATAACTAAAATTATTTTTTGCCTTTTAAATATCTATCTTGTCTTGAAAGATGGGTGTTCTACAAAAATATTAAAACAGATTGCCAGCTTTCTAACATGCCAGACAGGCCTCATAAATGTTTTTTTTTTTAATTTCAAGCTGTATTCCTGATGAATGAATAGTCAGTGTATATATTTGTTAAATCTGCTTTTAAGGTAGAGATGCAGTTTACCTGACAGGGAGTTGGAGGAGGGAGTACATTTTTTGAATACTAAAAAAAACCACATTCAACATATATATTGATTTCTATACTCGGCTCATTTTTGTCAACTTGCACTAGAGATAATTCTGTTATTTACACCAATGATAGTAACTGTTGGTTAAAAAACATACGTACTATTGCTACAAAAAATAATTCAATTCAAAAGTAAGGCCACTCAGATGAAAATTACTCAGCACATTTCCCGACTGAATAGGATTTAACAAAAATTAAAATCCTAACAAAGGCAATGGTTGAATAATTGAATCTGTCATAATTCCCTAACAAAGAGTAACCACAAGTCAATGAAAAAAAAGAGACAAACAGACTGATCTGTTTTTACACGCATTACTCGTACGAGGCATAGATTATTACCCGTCGCATATAAACCACTTAAAGACAGTTCGCAGCCAAATTAAAAATTGCACTACTGAGCATGTTACTGCACATATGTGCAATGTATTATGGGAGATGAACTATCACGAGATATAATTGACTATCACACTGGAAACTCGCTATATAAAATGTAATTTTTTTTAATGTTTAACAATATAGTAATTCATATCAGTAACTATATGCAACTTGCATTGAATGTCATCAATCAAAAATTCAAGATATGAATAAACAATTTCACCTTAGCAACCAGTACAAAAATGCAAATGTTCCACATTTCAGACTTTCACAAAGTGAACCCATTTTTTTTTTCATTTCAGTATGCTAACGACATTGACACATAATAATGAAAGCAAGCAGATGACATTTTTAGCGAGAATGTCCTTAAATTGATCTAAAATAGTGCATCTACATTTATAAATCAATATGCACCTTGTATATTGCTGTAGACACGAGTAAAATGTCAATATATATTCCTATAATATACATTGACAGCGCATAAATGAACCGTAGTATATACAATGCATATAAATCTGTGAAAGGGACTAGGTTCCATAGAATGCATAACACATGTGAAGAAATAATATTCAGAAAAGGTTTTAATATAGTGATGTGTTGAGCCACTCGTCTGTACATCGCGTGCCTGTGAGGAAAATGTAAATATGATTTAACTGCAAGAGTTGAATAGTAATGGAGACCATTAACCAACTATGTTCAATAAACAAACACCAAATGGAATATGTTTTCAATAATGACAGGAACATATTTGATTTCTTTTTATTATTTTCAGACATTTTTATTTATTAAACCACTTATACGCTTGTCTGTATTTAATCTGCGATTCATTTTGGATGGGCGTTCAATATACATGTTTATCATGCAATTCGTGTTTACATACATCTACTGATAGGGGCAAATATATCACGGGTGTCTCTTTACCTTGGGATTTGATTAAAATCAAAAGTTACATTCTCAGAAAAATGAGCTCTGAATTACTGTAAAGTACTTTATTTTCACTTGGAATTTATTTTAAATTAAAATCGGTGAAAATAAAAACCAGTGAAAATACTTTTTACCTATGTTTTACATTCAATCCATCAAAATTCAGTGAAAATAAATTTCATACAAAACAGCCAATACGTTTTTTCAGCGAAAATTAATTCCAGCTAAAATAAAGTACTTTACAGGATATGAAAATATATTTCTTTAGCTTTATCAGAATCTTGGGATAATAATGTAAAATTTTATAAATGGCATAAAATTTGCAAATTTAGTGAAATATTTGAAGATTTGGATTTATAAAACTTGTTCTCTAGTTAATACATATAATAACAAATAATTCATATAACTGTATTACTCCAATAATACTTTAGGAATGATCTCGGAACACAACTCAATACATATGTGACTGGTCAGTTAAAACAAGCGTACAACAATTAATTAAAAATTTATTGAAATCCAATGAAAAATACAAAAAATCCCATTGAACAATTTGAAAGAGGACCATCCCAGGCTCCTACATGCAAGTTAATCGTCTGGTATTTACTAAATAATCTGAGTAACTAGAGTCAATCATACATAATTTCATATCTGCTTTCTTTTTATATCCTTTGTTGAAAAAAAAATATTGTAGACAGTTTGCAACACCAGAACATGACAGTTAAGCAATAACTGAAAACACAAAAAACACTGAAAACGCCTATATAATATGCACAATGCTTACTCCTTTTCGCTAAAGTGACTTTCCAAATATAATGTTATCAATTTTAAGTATATTACCAGCATAAAACAGAATTAGAACCGATTTTTGAAAGATATTTATTTGAATATCAATATTTACTATTCATATTTCAGAACCTAACTCCAACCTATAGTACTTGACAGTGCATTATGCTCTATTTTGGCTTGCATAAATTAGTACAAGTAGCTTCTCGGCTGAGATAGCCCCGCTGTTAGCAATGCACATTTCAATTAAAGAACTGAAGGTATCATTAGAAAATGAACAATATGTATATAGTATCAATGCAATCGGACTTGCTGTTTTCAACAAGAATTCAAATATATCACTTTTTACCAAAAATGACAAAAATACTCATGAAAGTTAGAGAATTGAAAATATCATCGCGAAATGAAAAAATCTGAGAGGTCTACCTGTAGTACCTACATGTATAATATCAAAGCAATCAGACTACCGATAGCTGTTCTTAACAAGAAATCAAAAATATCACTTTCTTCCAAAAATTACAAAAATATTCACCAAAATTAGAGAATTGAAGATATCGCGAAATGAACAAATCAGTGGACTACCCCAAGTATCTATCTCGCAAATATGAAACCATTTGGTTTAACAATTTTGATGTGAAAAGTTGACAATATTCTACCAACTACCGTAAAAACCCTCAAATAAGAGCCACTTTGTAACACTTTCATTTCTGGGTGGTGCTTATGTTGACAACCCTGTAGCCAGTGGCTCTTAAACCAGGGTCATCAAACTTTTTCATTGTGAAATAGGGAAGGGGATAGGCAAACACACACACAACCAAAACAGACAAGTAATTATTAATGATGTATCATTGCAATTAATTTATTCTGTAAAAATA